ACATTGTTGGTGGGACTGCAAAATGGTGTAGCCTCTATGGAAAATGGTATGGAGGTTCCTCAAATAATTGCAGATAGGTCTACCATATGACCCAGCTATCCCACTGCTGGGAATATACCCAGAGGAATGGAAATCATCAAGTCGAAGCTATACCTGTTCTCCAATGTTAACTGCAGCACTATTTACAACAGCTAACAGTTGGAATCTGCCCAAATGTCCATCATCAGAGGAGTGGATATGGAAAATGTGGTATATCTACACAATGGAATACTATTCTGCTTTAAAAAGAGAATGAAATACTGCCATTTGCAACAACATGGATGGACCTAGAGAGAATTATATTAAGTGAAACAAATCAGGCACAGAAAGAGAAATATCACATGTCCTCACTTATTTGTGGGAGCTAAAAATAAATAAATAAATAAATACACAAATATACGGGGAGGGGAGGGAAGAAGACACAACAATTACAATTCCTTGAAGTTGTTATGGCAAGCAAACAGGTGTGAGATTGTTGAGAGGGAGGGAGGAGAAAGAGAAGGGAGGAAGGTTTCGGTAATGGGCCACAATAATCAACCACATTCTTTACTGACAAAATAAAATAAGATTTTTTTTTTTAAAAAAGAATCAAATGCATTTTTAAATGAGTTAAAATCTGAATATATTTCATTCTTCTTACATCTAAGAGCATATATAAATGAATAAACGTTGTTATGACTTCAAACAAACAAAAAGCACCAGCAGTGGATTTACCTGCATGAGTCCCTCCAGGGCGGCTGTACTGTCAGGGGACAGATTACAGGCATGACTTCAATGACACAATCACAATTTGAGAGTTTAAGTGTTTTTATTACTTGCGGATCCTCAAGTTAGGCAGGGTATTCAGAGAGGGGCAGACAGCAGTCCTCCATTTCAGTTCTTACATAGCAACAGCAACTATATGCGCATGGGGGAGGACTTCCTATTTAAAGGATCATTTGGAGTGGGGTGTTCTAATTTTGCAGGGTTCCTTTCTATTGGGTACTTCAAACAACTCTGGAGGCAATGGCAGTTGAGCAGTTTGGCACAAAGCTAGGGTTAAAAGAGGGCTCCACAAGGGGGCTTCTTATCTATCTTGGTCAGCCTTGGCCAGACTTAGGCAATAATCAACTAATATTTTTCCATTACTCCTAAAACACAGATTCAATTCAATCCCCATCAAAATCCCAATGGCCATTTTGGTAGAAATGGAAAAGTGTACTGTAAAATTCAGATGGATATGCAAGGGATCCTGAAAATCCAAAATACTCTTAGGGAAAAAAAAAAAAAAACTTGAAAATGCACACTTCCTATTTCAGAACTTACAAAACTACAGTAATCAAAACCATGTGTTACTGGCATAAGCACCGACAGGTAGACTAATGGAGCAGAACTGACAATACTGAAATAAACCCATACACTTATATGTCAACTTATTTTCAACAAGAGTACCAAGTCTCTCCTACAAATGGTACTGGAACAATTGCACAGCCACAAGCAAAATGAAGTTGGATGCTTACCTTACATCATATCCAAAAAGTAAATCAAAATGAACCAAAGATCTAAATAGAAAAAGGCCTAAAATGATAAAATTCTTAAAAGAAAACATGGAGGTAAATCCTTATGACCTTAAATTGTCAATGAACCCTTAGATATGACATTTACTGCACAAACAACAAAAAGAAAAAACAGATAAATTAGACTTCATCAAAATAAAAACCTTGTACATCAAAGCAAACTGTCAAGACAGTGCAACTAATACATGAATAAATAAAAAACAAGTTCATTTACAATAGATGGAAATATGCAAGATGACAGTAGCAGTGATCTAAAAAATTATGGTTGAGTTTAAAACTTAGTCATTATTCAATTTCAAATCTCCCTCAATAAGCTGCATCAAATCTTATTTGCTGAAGAACGATAAACACTGGCATACACATGGAATGAATAGTGTGGCATGAATAATATTTTGGCCAACAGCATCAGAGATATGAGGTTGTAAACTTTGAGAATGTTTTCCCTTTGATAAATTCCCACACCTGTGATTCCTGGCTCAAAGGGGGTAATCATAAGTATGTTTGATCAACACTGTCACAATGCCTTTGATAGACAATTTTGTAACATGCCACATAAACCACAAAGACAATTGGAACCACTTATCAGTCAGGCTTTTGCCAGACTTTATATCTTAGCAGTTGGGGACATGCTGACCACCATCTGGCTTCAAGGGGCACTTATGCATGCAGCAGGATGATGCTGTAACAAATTAATCAAAGAGTTCTCCTTCAAGAATTTTTTACTCCCTCCAGAAGTTGTCTAGCACAAAAAGAGGATGAAATTTCAGATTCTAGGAACGTGTGTTTAAAACGCAAGTTTTAGGGCCGGCCCAGTGGCGCACTCAGTAGAGTGCGGTGCTTGGGAGCGCGGCAGCACTCCCACCGAGGGTTCGGATCCCATATAGAGAGACCAGTCCGCTCACTGGTTGAGCGCAGTGCGGGCGCAACACCGAGGGTTGCGATCCCGTTACCGGTCACGAAAAAAGACGAAAAAAAGGAAAAAAAAAAAAAAAAGCAAGTTTTAAAGACAAAAATCACTCAATCTTAGAGGAATGTAAAATCAGGAAGAGCCAAGGATTTTCTACATTGTGCGATAGCCAGAGGGAGAAAACTATAAGATGTGAAAGTGAACGAAAGAAGTCAGATAATGTGGGGATCTTTAAAAGAAGCTGTGTGCTCTGACCATAAACCCCAGGCTGAGTGCCTGAAACATGGAGATATGGCCCCCATGAAGAACTGGAGATCAAAAAGCAGACCTCTCTCACCACTGTCTTTACAGCACTGGTGAGTAAAAACCTTGAAGGATCCACCTCACTCTCCTGTTACATATACTCCTGACATGTAGCAAAAGTAGAACTGAAGAAATGGTTGAAGTCTGAAGATGTAGAAGGACTGAGACAGCCCCACGTGCTTTCCTGGGGCCCTAGATGCCAATGTTTTCCCATCCCATGAGAAGGTCTCCCAAGTACATAAAATGGCAATGTTTCACTGGAGAGGGCCTGGAGCCAGCACTGAGGAGCCCTCAACTCTGATCTGTGTGGACTGAGAACTGAGTATACAAGAGACCAAGGAAGAAAGAGGACACATTATAAACAGCCCTCTCAGTGCCTTCAAGATCAAGGTACCAAAAAGGTCACAAAGGGGAGATAATAGAGTGCCGTTAAGTCAAGAGAAAGACTTTGCTTTGGTCTTTGCATGAGCTGCAGCACCACTGGAAACTGTGAGGGTGAATTTTACACGTCTGTAGAAGAAAGTAAGTGGAAGGAAAAATCTCCTTTGAGAGCTCAGAAGAAATAAACTTTTGTTTTCCTATAGATCTCTCACAGTTGGGGAGTTTCCCAATGCTGTTTAATGGTACAGCTTCCTGTCTTCCCATCTGAGTTTCTACCTATTTTCACACCTTTTATCTATTCCCACATATTTGGTTTTTTCTTTATTTATACGTTGCTCTTCACAGTCCAGGGCTCCTTCCCTTGCTCCAAAATGGAGATAATATTCAGGTCAGAAAGAAATTCCTGCTTATAAGAAGAAAGGAACATGATGTGCTGTGGCTTTTCCACAATACAATTCCAGCCCTTTGTTCAGCTGAGAAGGGAGGACATTACAGATGGGTCTAGAAAAATACTTCACAAATTCATCCACTATTTCCTTCTGTGTGCTTAAGGAATATCTTAAATGTAAAGAAATCCAGCTGTCTTCCAAGAATTACTAAATCAAGTATACAGAAATAAAACCAAATCCAGAATTGGATATTTTTAAGTTTGCCATAAGGTTTTGTGCTTACTCAACTTGTGGAACGTATACCAATCTAGCATGAAGTAAGCAGACCATCTGAAGAAATGGGAAGGTTAAATTCAAGATGTTGCATTATATAGCTTTTCTTTCAGAGTCAATGCAGCTTCAATCTCAGTCAACCAAGGCAGGGGTTCCCAAAAGACTCACTAGGACAGATCCTGATTTCTGGAGGGAAGTTATCCTCACCCACGGAGACCAGGTTCCTGTAGTTCTCCAACATCACGTCCCTGTATAAAGTTCTCTGGGCAGGGTCCAGGCATTCCCACTCCTCCTGAGAAAATTCTATGGTCACATCCCTGAATGTCAACAAACCCTGAAATAAAAAACACATTTCACCCAGCAGACACAAGGAGAGTTCTTATCGTCACACAAAATGTGAGCAGGAAAGAGGTATAAAGAATAAATTCAACTGAAGTGAGTGTTCTGACAGATCATTTTGAGCAAAAATAATTTTGAGCAACTTTCATATCCCTAATTTTGTTTTATGACACTTTCCATCAAAAGATATGAAATCCACTAAATCACTGTGGGTTTCACATTTTTGTGGACGTTAAAGGAAGTATACAAATGAAAAATATCCAACACAGCATCATTTACAAAGAAGTGCTACATATAACATTCTATACACCAAGTGATACTTAATACCTAGATGAGCTGGAGCATGAGTGGTGTCTTCAGGCATAACAAAGTCCACATATATGCAAAAAATACAAATTTTTGGGCGGGCCCGGTGGCGCACTGCCACAGTGCGCCGCTTGGGAAGTGTGGTGGCGCTCCCACCGAGGGTTCGGATCCCATGTGCAGACCGGCAGCTCACTGGCTGAGTGAGGAGCAGGGGCAACACTGAGGGTTGCTATCCCGTTGCCGGTCCCGGTCCGGTGCGGGCGCGACACTGAGGGTTGCGATCCGTTGCCGGTCACGAAAAAAGACAAAAAGAAAAAAAAAAAAAAATACAAATTTTTCCATTTAAGGTTAGATATCTGGCCATTAACAAAAGCCAAATGGACTTTATTACACTAATAAAATAATGATTCCAGATGAGGAAATTTACTAATATTATAATATTATTAGCATATACATTAATTTATCAGATTAAAAAAATACAAGAAAAATTTACTACAGCAGTAGATTCTTAAAGAAATATTGAATAATTTAAAATCATGACAAACACGACATTAAAATAACTGTTATTAAATAAGACAATTTCACCAAACATCACGATCAGCAGTAAGCACTGGAAGCACTGCCACTAAAGGTAAGACTGAGACAAGGGGGCCAGCCAGGTTCCTGCCATTCACCACTATACAGGATGCACAGGCTAGGACCAGAAGAGGAAAAAGCAGATTCACGTTAGCAATTTTATTGTAACACCTACTTAGAAGACATTTCCAGACCTATATGAAGAAATTATAAAGCTTACTGAAGGACATCACGAAGACTTGATCAAAGACTAACAAACCCAATTCTTACTGGAAGACAATGATGACATAAAGACCTCAGTGATTTAGAAACTCAGAGCAATTCAAATGCAAAAAAATATGGAATTTCAAATTTAAAAAGTCCCCATTTTGTCAAGGAAAGTCAACATAATTTTGAAAAGAAAAACAATATGAAGGGGCTTGCCAACTACATGTGAACCTGTGTGTGTGTGCGTGTGCACGCTATTTGAAATTTTTAAATGAATGAAATAAAATGGCTACAAGATAAACACAATAAATCCAAATTAAAGAGATTTAAACAGAATTTTAAACAAAAACCTTAAGATTAAATGAAACCTAATAATTTGAAATCTTGCCATGTGAAGCCTTATAAAGCAAGATAAAAAAGCAGAGAACATGAAGGAAAGAAGATCTATGTTTCACTGCAAAAAAAAGTGATAAACTAAGAAGACACGAGTGCATAAAGAATTAAATTACAGAATATAAAATACTCCTAAAAACTTATCAAAGGGAAACTGAACCAAGTATGAAAATCCATTTTTATTTCCACAAAATAATAAAATTTACTCATTTACAAGTAGCTGGAAAATTGAAATACAAAGTATTGTCATTTCCCCCCAAATTTTTAAAATATAAAAAAAATATAGTACCAAATTTTGCCTACATCAGCGGGAAATCTCACATTCTGTTGGTGAGAGAGGGTACCTTTGTAATCTTAGAGGAAGACATCAGGCCAGAATCTATCAAAATATGAAATACACAGCCATCCTTGACCCCGTAACACACTTCAAGTAGCCCAACCCAGAGAAATCTTCAGATATCAGCAGTGAAGTTGGCATACTCAAAAGTAGCCACAGCAGCATTCTTTACATCAGTGAAAAATTGTAAAAGACTCATATTTTCCTTAAGAGAATGCTCCAGTGAGGATCTAAAATCTCAAGCTATCTGTTTACTACCAGGAAAACAACTCCTAGACATATGCTATGTACATTTTTTAAATTTGCAGAATAAAATACCAAAACAAATATTCACTGAAGATATTTTTCTAAAATCTCATAATGATGTAAATATGCATTTTCAAAGGACTTGCACTGACTGTTGCCATAGAACTGACAACAGTGGTTCCCCATTGAGATGTGAGAGAGAGTGGAGGACATGACAGAGAAGGGGATGCTTTACATCTTAGTACCTAAGCTACATTGTAGCTTGGAGTTTTACCACAAAACAAATATATACATCATGCGATGTTTAAAATAAAAGAAATACACCAAAAAAAAAAAAAAAATTAAAAATAAATACATAAACAGGGGTGGCCAGTTAGCTCAGTTGGTTAGAGTGCCATGTTGTAACTCCAAGGTCAAGGGTTCAGAACCCCATATCACCCAACCACCAAAAATAAAAAATAAAATTTTTAAATTAAAAAAATATAAAATATAAAATAAATATAACATTTACTAACAATGATGGAAGTAGAATTTGGCTCTAGCCTCTCTGATGACCAAGTTCTGTGCTCTAACACCTTGGCTAAGTTATGACCATAGAGGACTAAAACACCTGTGGCACAAGAGTTCCTGCAGCAGCACCATGGTCTCTATGCAATGAATGATTTTAAAGAAAATCCAATTGTTAGACATTTAGGTTGACTCCATATTTGAAAAACAATTATGGAATAAAACATTCTCTATCACCAATGTGTCTCCGAACTTTATACATTATTCTAAATCATTAATATTTTGGAGCTAGAAATACATGATTCACTTATTTAGCTATGAATGCATTATAAAACCGGCAGCACAGGTTTATCGCTCTTCTTTTTCAGAATTTAACATGTAATTGTGCACATTAATAGGTAACTTTCATTTGTAGCTTCTCTAATTCTAGTCTACACAGAGCTGGCAGTGTTCCCAGAGTTGAACCCTAAAAAATCCCTGCTGCCAAACAGTACTCACACCACACATCCCACACCCTGTCTCCAATCTATGTCTGGGAGTGAAGCCCTTCCCAGGACCATGCCCCATATAGCCTCTTCACAAGTTCCACGTCACTGGGTCACACTGCAATGGAACCTAACTGAAGATGAGAGAAACTGAGGGAAAGCATGGGTGAGTGTGAACAAACATGTCAGGCAGGACACTTCAGGGTCAGAAAAGATTAGCAAGTCCAAAAAATGGCATTTCAGGAAGGAAGAGAACATAGAACAATCAACAGAGAGTATGACTTTTACCTGGGAAAGAGCCATTCCTGACTCCTCTTTCTTTCCTCTTCCAGGCTCCTTGCTCAGGCAAGATCACTCTTGAGAAGCCAATCCTGAGTGTCAAAAATATGCTGTTTAAAATATCACATGTTCTCACTTATTTGTGGTAGCTAAAAATAAATAAATAAATACACAAATAAACTGGGGGGGGGGGGAAACCCAAAAAATAAAAATTCCTTAAAGTTAAAACGAAAAAACAGATAGGGGGTTGTTGGGGGGGGGGGGGAAACCCAAAAAATAAAAATTCCTTAAAGTT